ATCGCACATCATTGCAATGTGGCCTATACCGCACCCCACACGCACCTCCCCTTTTTTCCTTATTATCTCCACGAGGGACCTGTTTAGAGAAAAAGGAAAAACGTTCATCCATGCTCGCTTGTTCTTTTTTTGGCACCTGAAAAATGTGCCAAGCAATTCTATCGCAAAACACTCGGTGATTGAGTAAGAGTCATCAGGAGGAGGAGGAGGAGGAGAAGGACCACGAGGAAAATTATTATTATTATTATTATTTTTGTATCAGCATTTAGGCGATGGAACTTTTTCTCAACGTTTGAAATTTTATTTTTATTTACAGATTTGGTGCATTGCACAAACGAGCCAAATGTTTCGATTCCACAGCTGGCAAATCTACTTATAGAGAGGTCTCAAAATGCAAATTGGGTCGTAGTTTTTAAGGCTCTCATAACGGTTCATCATATGCTATGCTATGGGAACGAGGTTCGTATCTATCCTTTTTAAAAAGAAAAGAAAACTCGATGGAAAATGAAAAATTTTTTAAAATGTTGAGACAAACTCGTGATGACTTCAACTCGTCTCGCGGTTTGCGGTTTGCCTTAAAATATTAATTATTATTATCATTATTATTATTATTATTATTATTATTATTATTATTATTATTATTATTATTATTATTATTATTATTATTATTATTTGCAAATTCGGTTTTTAACACTCGATTTAATCACATACAAAGCGGATGATATTATTTATCGATACAATAATTTTTTTTTTTTTTTTATATACATACGACGTATCTACTTTATTTTATCACGCATTTGTTTTTTACTTATGTCAAATAATAATAATAATAATGATGATGATGATGATGATGATGATGAAAGAGAGAGTGAAGCTCCATTTGTATAAATTTTATAATTACCTGCTTAAAGTTATTGATTTAACGTATAAAAAAGGGTGTACGACGATCGATTATAAATTTTTTTTAAATTTTCGTCCCTGGTTATCATTATCATTATTATCATTATTATTATTATTATTATTATTATTATTATTATTATTATTATTATTATTAATATTATTATTTTTTTCTTTTTGATTTCAGAGGTTTACTCAGTACTTAGCTTCGAGCAACAGCACGTTTCAATTAAGCAATTTCTTAGACAAAAGCAGCGTGCAAGGTATGCATTCAACCGTTAAAGAATAAATTTCCCAACTTTTTTCCTATTCTTTTCTCTCTCTCTCTCTCTCTCTCTTTTATTATTAACGTAATCAAACAAACGTCTATAGAAATTTAAAAAAAAAAATTTTTATTCCTCGTGACTCTCCAGGAGGAAGTTACCGTCGTCGTAAGTGACAGAAAAATTAAAATAATTTTTTTTTTATTTCTCTGTCTCTTTCTGTCTTAGTATCCTTATGTAATTTCCTCAGGAGGTTATTTTTATTTTTTTTTTGCCCCTAATATATATATAAATGCAATAAAAAAATTTTTTTTTTTTTTTCGAGACGTTTTGATTACGTAAAACCCCCAAGAAAGTGATATTTGTAATTCTTTTTTTTTTTTTTTTCTATTTTCATTCTTTTCTTACTCATTTTATTTTGTATTCTTTTTCTTTTTTTTTTTTTGTCAACTCACAACAGGGAGCGGTGCAAGAGTTGGTAAGTTGAAGAGAAAAAAAATTTATATAAATGTTATGCATAATCCGTTGAAAAGAGGTTTCTATTTTTAAATGATAAAACATCCCCGACCCATTAAAAATACTTGTAAAGCCAAATAAGAAAATGTAGGAGGTCACATGCCGACGCCGCCGACGCCGCCGCCGCTACCTCCTCCTCTTCTTTCTCCTCCCACGTATCAAACGGTAGTTGAAAAAAATATATATCGAGTCATGGAAGAATAGGTTTTACACGTTTGAGTCATTTATTATATAAATCAAAAACTGGTTGATGGATTTTATGAACTCGACTTTTTACATCGACATATTTATTTAAAATAAAATAATAATAATAATAATAATAATGATAAATAATTTTTTTTTTTAATAAACCACGTGACGGACGGACAAACGGATTTTTTTCCCTTTTTTTCTTATTCAAATTTTAGTAGTTTGTTGCTTGCAAAACTTGTAGTTTTGATAAACTTTATTTTTTTTTTTCTTAAACCACGACCAAGCGAAAATCTAACGATTCATTTAAAAATTTTTTTTTTTTTTTCAGGTTACGATATGTCACCTTTCATTAGGCGCTACGCAAAATATTTAAACGAAAAGGCTTTGTCGTACAGAACTGTTGCTTTTGATTTTTGCAAAGTGAAAAGAGGGTAAGAAGAAAAGGATATCGTTTTCATTTTTTTTTTTTTTTGTCGCATCCGGAAAAATGAAACGGATGAGAAAGGGGGAGGGGAGGGGAAAGTAACGGATATAAAAAAGGTTTTGACCGCAATATATATATATATATAAAAGAGAGAATTAGAACGCGGTCTCTCTCTCTCTCTTTCTCTGTTTTGTTTTATTTAGGAAGAAACATTTAGGAAAATTGTGCTCTCTGGGGTTTTGCGGTCGATAAATTAATAATGGCTTGGCGAAAAACGATGGCGTTGTGTTGTGGAATTAAAAAATAAGTTATTTATTAAGTTTTTTTTTTTTTTGTTAATCACGATTTGAAATTTACAGAAAAGAAGATGGAACATTGCGTACCATGAACGCGGAAAAACTTCTCAAAACTCTTCCGGTTTTACAATCACAAGTTGATAGTCTTTTGGAATTCGATTGTACGGCAAATGATTTAACCAACGGAGTCATAAACATGGCTTTCATGTTGTTATTCCGCGATTTGATTCGGCTTTTCGCTTGCTACAATGACGGAATCATTAATTTATTAGGTATCCCTTAAGGTTTTACAATTAATTAATTAATTAATTAATGCCATTTCGAAATTTTTATTTATTTATTAACTTATTTATTTCATTTGCAGAAAAATATTTTGACATGAACAAAAAACAATGTCGCGACGCGTTAGATTTGTATAAAAAATTTCTCATACGGATGGATAGAGTCGGTGAATTTTTAAAAGTCGCAGAAAACGTCGGCATAGACAAGGGAGATATTCCGGATTTAACGAAAGCTCCGAGCAGTCTATTGGATGCTCTCGAACAACATTTGGGAGCTCTCGAAGGGAAAAAAGGATCGGCTGCCAACACTCCGACTCAATCCGCCAGGTACGTTATTTTTCCGCCGATAATTGTGCCGCCACCCGCTTTAGAGTAGTGTCTTAACAGAGGCTCTTTCGTTCACGTTTTTTTTTTTTTTTTTTTTTTTTTGTGAAAATTTTTGGGAGTCAATAATAACAATGTCAGGATTAGTCTGTTAACTATTACAACAACTTATTATTATTATTATTTTTATTTATTTTTTTTCCGTTTATTTATTTTCACAAAGCTTGCTTTATTAATCTTAATAATATTCGTGACATTGTAATGAGTTTATTTTGTTTTCCCTTTTTCTTTTTTTTTTTCTTTTCATTTTCTTTTTTATCTCTTGATCTCTCTGTTTCCTTGTTAAATCATTTCCCTCCCCTCATTCTCACACTCCCTCATTGCACACTCAGCAATAGAACGAATGTTAAGTCTGGCGTCTCCGCTCTATCTTCCACCAGCAGCGCTTTCGGAACAGTGGCTGCCAGTACGAGATTGGATTCGGCGTCTTCGGCCGCAAATGGAATCGACGAAAGCGTCAGGCAGCAGGCCTTGGCGGAAGAAGAAGCAGCCATGAGACAATACAATGCAAGTCGTTACTTTAGGATACTCTGATTTGAAAATTAAAATCGAAATTTAATTGAATTTTTTTTTTTTTTTAGGCCAAGGTGCAATCACCGACTAACAGTAGTACGAATCCATTTTTGTCCACCGGATCGACTGCTCAGCAACCAATCGTCGATTTATTCGGAGGAACGCCCAGCAACGTTCCTCCTCCACAGCCTGTTAAAGCATCCGATGATCTTTTGCAATTGGGAAATCCCTTTTGCGATATATTTTCCGGTTCTCAGGCTCAACCTCCGGTGTCATCATCTACGAATAATGCTTGGATGTCCAATGGTAAGAATTATTTTTAAAATTAAAAAACGAATAAATGATTTGAAGTAATTGAATTCCGATAAATTGAACAGGTTTTGGAAATAGTCAACCGTCGACGGTCCCCGCTAACACTGCTCCTCCGGCTTTTGTTAGTGACACTGCTTTTTCGTCAGTTTTTGGAAATAACAACATCGCAAACGTTGGTGAGTTTGTTTCTTTTTTTCTTTTTTTCTCTCTCTCTCTCTCTCTCCGTATTAAAATGCAAAAAATTATTATTTTTCTTACCATGATGTAATTAAGTTGTTGCTTACATGAAATTTTAAAATTTTATCGCAAGCTGCTAAAGGAGATTCTGTTATTCCAAATCCTTTTATGGCCTCCGATAATGATTTATTTGCTCCCGTGACCAGTGCCGCTAATATCCCAACGTCTCAACCGCCGTCGATCACTCCCGAAGCATCCGCTACTTCTTCGACTACTTGTACGGTAGCTAGCACTGGGCCCCCGCTTCGTCCCCCGCCTCCGCATATAGCTCAGGCGGCGACCACCGCAGGACCCTCTTTGTCCCCCGGCAAAAGTGCATTCGATGATTTAAATGATTCCATAAGAATGGCCCTCGGAGGTTCTCCGGTCCACATTTCCACTCAATCATCTCAACCTCCTCCGCCACAACCGCAACCTCAACCTCAACCTCAACCTCTTTCTCAACCTCAGCAACAGCAACCGCAGTTGCTGCAGCAGCAGCAGCAGCACCAATCATTGCAACAACAACAACAACAACTTTTATTTAACGCTTTTGATTTTGGTGTTGGTCAAACCGGTCCCGGTGTTGTCGGTCCAGTCGTTCCCGGCGTTGTTCAAACCGCGCCCGGTTTTGCTCCGATGGTGGGATACCCCGTCGTGCCGGGGTACGGATCTCCTATAAAGCAAAACGTACCCGTCGCAGGTAGAGAAAACGCAGAAAAACTCTTCTTTAGGGTTGGCGAAAAATTCAATTTCGATAAATTTAATTTAACGTTCTTGCAATTGTTTTTTTTTTTTTTTAGCTTCAACCGCTACCACCAACAAAGTTTTGACCGGGGATTTGGATAGTAGTTTAGCTTCGCTCGCGGAAAATCTCACCATAAATAAAGGCGCTCAGCAACCGCCGAAGTGAGTTTTTTTTTTTTTTTGTTTAATTTAATTATTATAAAAAATTAATTAATTTCTAAAAAAACGTTCAACGATTTAATTGTTTCAGAGGAGTGCAATGGAATTCTCCAAAAAATACGGCTAAACCAGGAGGTGCGAGTTGGAGTCCTCAACCCATGGCGGCCACGACCGGAGCCAATTACAGACCGATGGTAAGTTAACCGTAAAAAAAAAAAAAAACCAGGTCGCATTTACAATTAACATTATTTGTTTTTTTGTTTCAAAACGAAGAAATTGCTAACAGTTTTCTCCCCCCCTCCACCCTCACTTTCCCCCACTTTCGAGCAGCATGGCAATTTTTTTTTTTTTTTTTTTTTATTTCCTTACTTAACTTTTCTTTACTCTTTTTTAATTTGCATGTGAACCGCCATTTTAACTTTTTTATTTTCTTTTGCAGATTCATTTTACAATATTTACAATTGCGATCTTTAACTCGTTGTCAACAAATGCCACGTTTTTTTTTTTTTAATAATATTTGAATCTATTTGGTCTTTGAATAAGGATGAAGTGAGAGAAAAGTTGGGGGGGGGAGATTTCGGGGAAACTTGGCATTTGATGATTACGAGAGAAAGAGACGCAATTCTCGCCTTTAATTCAAAAAAAAAAAAAAACAAAAAAAGAAACCTTCGGCTCGATTTTAGGGTTTTTTTTGTAATAGCTTTTAAAATTTTAGTTTTTATACCTTTTGTTTTGCACGAATCATTCGTTGATGATGATGATGATGATGATAATTACCGTTGTTTATTGAGATGACGGTTTTCTAATATAAAATATTGACTCGCACAGCATGAGTGTGAATGTCGTTTCAGGGTCAAAGCATGGCCAAACCAGCCGTACTCATCTCTTCCACATTTCACCCGTTCGCTCAGGTAAGTGTTTTCAAAACAATCCCCCTTCCACCCACCCCCCCCCCAAAAAAAAAAGAAAAGAAACGCCCGCATCCCGCTTATCCCGCGATTAAACAATATATCTGTTATCTTTTATTTTTGCGACCCCCACCACCGCCACGATTATTATTATTATTATCACAACGGTGAATTTTTTTTATTTAATAATAGGGCGTGCCGGGAAGCATTCCTCAGGTTCGTCCCGCAGGAGGAGGTAACATGATGACCGGAGGAGGTGTACCCGTCACGCAACCTTCGACTCAACAATTGGATCCTTTCGGTGCCCTAATGTAAAGAAGAGACGATAGTCATCGGTAAGTGAAAAAAATTTACACATATATAACTAATCTACTGCCCTCGTATATCTCATGGTCGACGACGACGACGACGACGACGTCGCCGCGGAAGTAAAAAATAACCGGAAACATTCATTTTTTTTTTTTTTTTCTTTTTCTTCTTTTCTTTCAGATAAATTAACTGTATAGAGAAATGTTTATTATCCTCAATTAAATAGCTTAGCGTTTTTTTTTTTTTTTTTTTTTTTTCAAATCTCTCTCTCTCTCTTTCTCTCTGTGTCGTAAAGGAGGAGGAGGAGGAGAAGGAGGAGAAAGTAGAGTATATTAATCTGCCTTGAACGCGACGACGACTACGACTACGAATCTCATAGAACGCGGGAATAAAAAAAAAAAAAAAAAAAAAAATGAATGAATGAATGAATGCGACGAAATCGTCGGTAACGAGCCAAACGTCGACCATCAATCATCATCCATTTGCAGCCTCCGGACCCGCCGGAGGGATTTAAAAAAATGGCATCTGTATCATGTTCCTCCGATAAAATTTTGTCGTCGAATCTACAAAAAAAAAACACACACAAAATGGTTGCCGGGGAGGGAGGGAGGGAGGGGTTGGGGGGCTGGAAAAACAAAACAAAACAAAAACAAAACTTTTTATATGTTTTTCTTTTTTTTTTTTTTTATTGTTATTATTTTTTTTTTTTTTTAATTTTGTTTTTTTTATATATACATATATATATATATATATATATATATATATATTTAAAATTTTCCGATTTCACTATAGAACGGCGAGAAGCATTTATTATTATTATTATTATTATTAATATTATCATTATTATTACTATTATTATTATTATTGGTTATTAGACGTCATCAATATTTTTTGTATTGAACGTCGTCTTTTCGTTTATTTTAATTATTATTATTATTATTATTCGTATGTAATCATTCCTTCGTAATTATATATATACATAATTATTATTATTATTATTATTATAATTATTATTATTATTATTATTATTTGTAGCGGAAAATTTAAAAAAATTTAATTACGAAATGGATATTTTCTAATTAATGCTGTTATTATTAATTAAATCGATACGGGGGGGAAGAGGGGAGAAATGATGATGATGATGATGATGATGATGATCTCACCCGTACTCGAATGCTTGTTTTATTATAATAGTAATAGTAATAATAGTAATAATTGTAATAATGATGATGATGATCACGGTGACAATAATAATAATAATAATAATAATAATAATAATAAAAATAATTAGAGAGTAAAAAAAAAAAACGTCAATAATCCAGTTCATCATAAGGTTTTCTTTTCTTTTTTTTTTTTTTTTTTTTGAAAACATGGTTGCGAATCTCATTCCATTAGTTTTTTTACGTTTGAACGTGTCAGGAGAAAAGGAAATGGTTGGTTTTTTTTTTTTGTTTTTATGCGTTACAGGTTTGAGAAATAATAATGATTTTATTAGGTTTGTGTACGGTACGGTTTTGGTTTTCAGGTTTTCAAGTTTTTTTGAATTCGAATGAAATTTATCATTATTATCACTATCATTATTATTATATATATGTGTGCGTGTGCGTGTGCGTGTGCGTGTGCGTGTGAGTGCGCGTGTTCTTATTGATGTCTGAAATATCCCGATGAAAGATGTTAAAATGTGATTGATTAAACAGAAAAATTTATCTCCTCGGGTTTTTTTTTTAATTTTTTTTTTGGTGGCTGGCCACCGACGGGGGAGGGGGGGGGAAAAACGTACTCATAAAATGTAATTAAATATTATTATCATTATCATTATTATTATTATTTATTATTTTTAAAATGGACGCCTTCGTCATCGCGAATACGATCATCGTAATAATAATAATAATAATAAACAGTCGATTTTGAATTTTCATCATCATCATCATCATCGATCGATCGGTCGGTGAAAAAATAAAAAAAAAAAAATTTTTTTTTTTTCCTCGCCGAAAATTTATTTACACTCGATTTTCGTATCGTTACGTCACGCTCCTCCCCCTTCTCCTCCTCCTCTTTTCCCCTTCCACGCCCCTCGCAGCACCCGCCGCCCCCGTTCGGAAAAATTTTATTGTTCTCGTTCGTTTTTTTTTGTTTTCTCTCGCATCGATTGTTTTTTTTTTTTTTCCTCTCTCTCTTACGTCATAATTTTCTCGACGTATATACGATGACGTATACGGTGACGTGTGCGGTGACGATGACGTTTATATCACGAAGCTTATCATTTAAATTTAAAAAAAAGTATATTTTCAATGGAATAAAAACAAAAAAATATATATAAATATATTTATGTAGTTGCTTGGATAAATAAATAAATAAATAAATAAAATTTTATTGAGTAATAATAATAATAATAATAATAATAATAATAATAATAATAATAATAATAATAAATAATATTTGTCAAATTGAAAAAAAAAAAGCTTTTTGTATATACATTTTTTTTTTCCCCCTCGTTTTAAATTTATCAATATAAACTCGTGAAATTATTATCATTATGATTATTATCATTATGATTATCATTATTATTATCATTTTTTTTTAGCACTTATTAGTCGAAGATTGATTGATAAATAAGTATATAATTGATAAAGACGATCATTTTCCGTTTTCCTTTTTTTTTTAAAATGTGCAAATATATTTATATATATATGTATCGATGATTGAAGATGAGGGGAGGAGGGGAGGGGAGGAGGGGAAAACGATTTTTCGGCGGAAATGGGGAAAAAAAAATGGCGCTGGAAGACAATTGGTAATCGATTCGATCATAAATTTTCTTTATTTGATTATTGGATTTATAATTTTGTATTTTATTAGGTTTATTTCGTTTTCGAATGAATTAAAAATAAATAAATAAATAAATTGTTGTAGAATTTTAATAATTCCCCGTGTTAATAATAATAATAATTAATACATAAATAAATAAATAAATAAATAAATTGTTTTTTGTGTAAATTAGTTTATCCGCTTTTTTATCACTCCAATGGCGGTTTCGTATATATATATATATATATATATATATATATATATATATATATATATATATATATATATATAAATGAATAAAATTATAAGAAAAAAATGATTGATTGAGTTTCTTTCTCTTTTTCTTTTCCTATCTCTCTCTCTCTCTCTCTCTCTCTCTCTCTCTCTCTCTCTCTCTCTCTCTCTCTCTCCCACGATATTTGTTTAATGTAAGAGTTCCCGAATATTCCCGTATTATTCCCGAATCGGGCATTCGTCAAAGTGTCTTGAAATTATTGCCGCGATAGCCGTTTAAATCAAACGAAAATTTGGATTTATAATTATCATTATTATTGAATTTACGTCACGGGTTTATGACGTCACGTGGCAAACGATTGTTGTTTTCGTAATGGAGGATATTAAGGAGATGAATAATTGAAAATTAAATAAATAAATCGTAACCGTTTGTATACATTTATATATAATTTTTTTATTAATAATAAACCTTAATTAGGCCTTTAACGTTGTTTTCATTATTACAACAATTTTTTTTTAAATAATAATAATAATAATAATAATAACGATAAATAAATTTTACAAAAAAAAAAAAATTAATTAATTAAGTTTAAAATAATAATAATAATTAAATAAATAAGAGGAAAAAGGAAAAATAAAAAAATGGAAGACCTAATTAATAAAAAAAAAAAGTCGCGCGCAAATTTTTAAATATTCGTTTGTCATTTGACTAGAGAGAAAAATTTTGGTTTATTTATTTCACGCACGTGCCGTGCACGTATCATCGTACCTTATTTCATTCCAAGAGTACACGTGGGTTCGCACGATCGAACCATTCTTCCTCATTTAAATTTTATTAAAAAATCGTATCAACGATTGATTGATTGATTGATTGATTTTAGTTTGTTTGTTTACATATCGAAACGAGGGCACCGTGACAAAAATCGATTTTTTTTTTATATGCCACACACGGGGGGGCGGGGAGGGGAGGGGGGAGGAAAAACAGAGAAAATTTACGATTCGCGCCAAGACCGTTGCGTGCAAACTCCAGGCCCTCTCCACCATTCGTTAATATCTTTGTAACTTTTCGCTGGATAATTATCGTGTAACATGGCACAAAGTCTGCAGAAAAAATAAGTGTTTATAAATTCTCCAGTACCTTTCCATAAAAAGTAGGAATTGTACAAATCGTCATTTTTATCCAGTGCGTGTAAATAATTAGCAAGAGCTTTGGGTGATTCGAAATCGTCAACGTGTATGTATGAATGTTCCGGTGCGCTTTTAGCATAATCTTCCGGATGTGCACCCATGACTATGGGCAGTACGTCTCTCCTGATGACAAAAAGGACAACAGCGTTAACGTCTATGATGATAATGATAATGATGATGATAATATATACTCACCCCAATCCGTTAACGAATAATTTTTCCGTTATGTAATCACGACAATTTGAATTTTCAAATGCGAGATAAAATTTATAATCTTTGTCCAGCATTTGAAAACACATTTCTTTGGAATCGACTGGAAATCTCGGACATTTTTTACTACCGCATGCCCCATATATGTCCACCCCGATGTATTTTTTCAATTCGTTGGCATATTGAAGTCTGTTGTTTCTTGCCGCGCAATTCGATACGAACCATGCAACGGTTTTTGTTTTGTTTGCCGCGTAATTTTTATCAGGTATAGTTTTCTGTTTCGTTTTAGGATCGTAGTAAACCCAACGTTCGTAAGGTGCCACTATATCGCTGTCGCGTCTATACGTTGCCGTCCAATTGATAACATCGTTAAATTTGATATGTTGCGTGTGATAGGGACATTCCAAAAAATACAATATCCACACCTGTAAAATAAAAAACTAACCTCGTACAATTTTTTACGGGGGGAAGGGGGGGGAAGAACGCGATCGTATAATACCTGTCTGGAGTGACGTATGTGTCCGGGATGTACGAATCGATCCTTAAATAAAATAGCATCGGCATTTTGTGCTTCGGATTGACTTGCTGTCACGGTACACGTGTCCACGGGACATTTCGATTCGATAAAAATGTCTCTTCCAGGTTTTAAATTCCAGGATCCGAGACCGAAATAAAATAAAATTTTTTTTAATTTTTCCGGTTTTTTTTCCACGGGCCGTGGTGGTGGCGACGGCGGGGGTACGAACATCAATTGATTTATTATTCTATCGTCTCCCCAATCTTCGTGCGGCCATAATTTTGCTAATTTTCTACCCGTTTTTCTATTGACACGAGTCGGTAACGGTCTTCGTGTTCCACCGTTGAAAAACCACGGTCTTTCGTTATCGTTTATCAACGCGGAATTATTTGTTTTTAATACCTGGAAAAAATAATAATAATAATAATAACAAACGTAAATTAACTTTTACGAGGTGGGAAAACAAATAGTGGTAGGAAGAAATACAAATAAGGGCAAAAAAAAAATTATTTTCACCAAACAAATTTAGGCAAAAGGGCAAATAATTTATTTTTTTAAAAATCAGGAAGCCAACATAGAAAAAAAAAAAAATTTTTTTCAATTACTCATATAAGATAATTTGTATGACTAACCCTATGGCATTTTTACTTTCAAGATCGAGTGAGAGTAAGTCCAAAAAAGAAAAATGGCGGCGAATTAAGGAAAACACCAAAAAAAAAAAAAAATGGCAAAACGAATTTAGCATTTACGTATACACGATTTGTTGTAAATGTCGAAGAGTGTGGTTGTTGTTGTTGTTGTTGTTGCAATCGGTGACTGACCTTTCATTTTCAATATAAACAATATCAACAAAAAAATACATAATTTTTTTTTTATGGCGCCATTTTACTATTTACGACGACATTTAAAATGAATAGAAAATCGTAATAAAAAAAAATCACCACCACCATCACCACAGGGTAAAATAAATAAATCGAACGATATATCGAAACTCTAAAAAAAATTAATAAGTATTTAATATTATTGACGTGGAATTAGAATCGAAAACAACCGGAACAACAAAAAATTTAACATTCAAAATGAGTATATAAACGAATTTTGATTGTACGTGTTAATTAATTATCAATTTCACGACGATCATTTCCGGTTTAGTTTTTTTCTTTTTTAAAAATGTTTATATTTCAAAATAATAATAATAATGATGATAATAATAATAATAAGGAAATCGTTGCTGTTTTTAAACGATGACATGTAAAAAAATTTTCTTTCTCTTTCTTACACAATCGAATTAACCTTTTGCGTTGTGGAAAAAAAAAATTTAGGTTTCTGTAATAATCGTGACATCGTTAAAAAAATTTTCAAATGAAAGAAATAATAATAATAATAATAATACACAATACAAATCCTCCTCCTCATTCTCCCCCCCACCTCCCCTCCCTAACCTCCGAAAAAGGAAAAAGTTTTACAGCCAAAAAGTCTGCACAGGAAATTTATAAAAAAAAACTAAAAAAAATATGAAAGTAATAAAATAATGTATAAGAATAAGGGGATGGGGGGTAGAATGGGGGGGGAGTGGGGCTCCCGGAGAAAATATCTGGATAAAGTCCAGTTTATCCATTAAATATCAAAATTTATTTACAAAAGGGTTTGAAAAATTTGTATCTCTCATCTTCCCTTTTTTTCTACGACCTCGTGATAAAATTCATTACAATTAAAAAATTTAACAGTCCATTAATGGGGGGGGCGTGGGGGTGGAGGCGGTAATAAAAAGGGAGTGATTGCCCTTATTCCCAACCCGAAAAAAAATTTTTTTTTTTTGTTGTTACCTGTATTAACGATCCACCATTTTCAATTTCATCATCATTTTCAATTTCATTTTCTACATCTTTCCTGTTGTTGGCATGATTGCTGTTTGTTGCCGTTGATATTTTTTGTCCAGATCGCTCCGACGATGATATTTTCATACCTGGTATGATACCACGTGATTCCGTACGAAACGTTTGTTGTACCCATATTGCTCTTTGATGTATATTAACAATAACAAATAAAAATCCGACGATTATTAAAAGATAGAAAATTCTTCGTCGGAGCGACATGTGGGAGTTGGCGGACGACCTCCTCCCGATTATAAGGAGTACCTCCTACTACTCCAGGTTTTCCTAAAAAAAAAAAAAATTTCAATTTATTAACAAACGACGATTATAACATTTTATACACACGATCAAACAACACTTTAAATCTTATTACTATTATTATTATTATCTTTAATGTAAAAAAAAAACATATCTTGTATATCAATACTCCGCGTTATCAGTACTCTCGTCCTTGTTTTTCTATTTAATAAAATGTCGTGGGGGAGGTGAGGGAGGGGGACTCCTAAGTGAGAAAAATACCACCACCTCCTGTATTTAATTACGGTTTTATATTACAATCTTACATAATTTATAAACTTTGTACTACTGATGGGGGGATACAATTTAAACACCGGAAATACAAAATATCTTTTACTATCACTACCACCACCACCACCAACAGCAAAATCTTATCACAAAGAGTAATTTAATATTTAAATTTAAAATCTCTGATTTAATAATAATAATAATGATGACTTCTTTTTTTTATCAAATTTTTTTTTGTTAAAAGTGATGATAATGATCATCGTTATCAATAATTTTTTTTTTTTTTGCTACTTTTTCTTATTTTAATCTCATTAAGAAATCATATTTCAATTTTTTCTGGTGTGTGTGTGTGTGTGGTACAGAGATGATGCTGGAATTTATTTTATCATTATTATCATTCAATTTATCCCTCTGGTAATGATAGGAAAATTGTTTAAATATTAGCAGAAAAAAATTACAAGGTTAACAAGAATTTAAAAGTGAAATAATGATGATGATTTAAAAAAAAAAGGAAAAATTTTGAGGTCATGGTATCGATCAATTACTACTACCCCCCCTCAGGTATTTGATTTCACTGACCTATGTTACATATTTGTCTTGGATACCTACGGGGGGAGGAAGGGAGAAGGAGGGGGACACACACAAATATTAATTATTATAAATAAACCTTTCTGAAGATTGATGACAATAAGATAATTAAAAATTATGAAATAAAAAAAAAATTCCATTATTATTACATAAAAATAAACCTTTTACTTTGCACATTTATTATTATTATTATTATTAAGAAAAACTACACGTACCTTGACCTTTTACGGGTACCTTTTTTTTTTACAATATTAACTTTTAAAATCTTACAAAATATTTATAAACAAAAAAAATTGTTTAAACAAAATCAACTCCGATACCAATTAACACAAATTTAATCTCTTATATTAATTATAACATTTATCTAAGATATAATTACTCGATGGGGGGAGATGGGGGGGGGGGGTAAACGAATAATAATAATAATGTAAATAATTAATACAACAACCAAACAAAAAATTAATTTTGATGTACATATATATATTAATAACACACACACGCGATTTAATAATTTTGAGCACTAAATAAAAAATCAAATTAAAAAAATTTGTTGGAATCGAATGAATTCAAAAAAAAAAAATTTTTAACGGTTTTTTTCGTTTTCCCCCATAAGAAACGATAATGATGATATAATGAAACGGAGTTCGTATTAACAAAACTTTTCACTTTTAATAATCGCAAAATAATAATGATGATTCGTACGATTATTATCGTCATTTACCGTTTAAAAAACGAAATCGAAAAAGAAAAAAAGAAAAAAAAAATGTCACAACGGTCGTTGTAAATAAAAATCCAGAGGCGATTAGGTTGTTTTATAAAAAAAATAAGAGTCAGCATTTTTTTTTTAGCATTTGCATTAGCATCGAGTGTTATTATTTATTAAAATTAAAAATTATTATGAAAAACAAACGCGTTCTACTTACTGATAACCGTCGACATTTATAATTAACGATAAATTTTCTAATACACGTTGAAATATATATATATTGATATACTCACTCTCATCGTCCGACATATTGAAAATGAATAACTACTCATACACGATTTGAAAAACGTTAAATTTAATTAATAATATTCGATTCAGAAATCATATCTATACTTATTATTATTATTAATTACGTATTCGTCGAAAATATAAATTACACTTATAAAATAACGAATTTTTTAAATAAAAATTTACGTTTTGAATTCATGGCGTCACATAATAACATTCACAAAAATTCAAATGAAATATTTAAAAATTTTCATTTTTTTTTCCTCTCGCAACAATAAATCACCGACATTTTTCTTTTTAAAAATAAAAAAAAGAACAATTAATAAATAAATTATCGTGATTAATTACAAAAAAAAAACGAAAAACGCGACAACGCAAAACGAAATTAAAAAAAAAAATTATCGCACGAAAATTTTAATCTGCATTTTTTTTTTAACACTTTCATACATTCTAACGAATTTTAAGTAGTGCCAACTTTTGAAAAAAAAATTTCCTTTAAAAATTTTAAAATTGGAATTAAATGACGTCATCATGTAATCTGTTGTCTAATAAGAGAAAAAAACGGTTTATTAATATATGGAGATGAGATAGAGAAAAAATTTTTTTTTTTTTTTAAATTATTTACTAATCAATCAAACGGATTTGATTTATTATTATTATCGAAACATATTACTGATACGAGATTATTTTATTGTTTTATTTATAAATAAAATATAATAAAAATAAATCGGAAAAAAAATAACAATAAAAATATTTTCTATCTCTATGAATTAAAAAGAATTCGAATAACGGTGGGGGGCGGGGGGAAATAATTTAAGTAATAATCGTTTCGTGATGTATATAAAAACGATAAAAAGAACGAAAAATAAATTTTTAACGTTTTTTTTAAATATAAAATTAAGGGTCCCCCTTTTGTAAATTTTTTTTTCCATAAAACAAAACACACCTGAATTTTTTTTAACCGATCCTTGATTCGATCAAACGATTTAAAAAAAAAAAATTTAAACAATTATTTAAAAAAAACATTTAAATAATAAAACATATCCGTTACAACAAAAAAAAAAAACTAAACATTTTTCTACAAAAAAAAGGAAAATAGGGAAAAAGGGAAAAAGGGAAAATTTTTTCACACATTAAATCCTTACCTCCTTAACGACCGTATCAAAATCTACGAGGAAGCAAAACCAAAAAATAATAATAATAATAATTATTTATTTAAAACGCGAAACGTCACATGAACGAAATAAATAAATAAATAAATAACTTACTGATTATTATTTTATTATTATTATTAAATTAAATTAAAAAAAAATATTAAAAAAATGTTTGTAATGCGCCGCCGGGGGTAGCGCTTGTCAAAACTAAATTTCCATCTGATGGAAAATCCATACAATAATATAGAGGCATGCGCTGTGCCCCTCCCATAAAAAGGTTTTTAATTTTTTTTTTTTTTTTTTTTTTCCCATTCAAAAGATCAACAACATGTTCTCTCTCTCTCTCTCATTTTCCATTTTCCAAAAAAAATTGATTTTTCTCATGTAATTTTTTTTTTAACTCTCTTTTACCGAATACCGAAATAATAATAATAATAATGGGAAATACAAACAGGAAGTACAAAGAAAGCAAAAAAAGAAAATGGCGGATAAACAAATATTAATAGAAAACTTTTTCCGTACAAAAAAAATAACAAAAACGATCTCTAACCGTACGAAACGATGTTTAAACTAAACGAATAAAAAAATTATTTAGTTAATATACGTGTATAATCATCATTATTATTATTAATACTTTCTTTTTTTTTTGTTCGTGTTGGTATCATTGATGGGTAGGTTGGTTGGTAGGTGAAGGACGGACGGACGGATGAAAAATTTAATTCGATTTTAAGTTTTAAGTATCTGAACTATAATTTTTAATTTTTTTTAAACAAATCTGTCGTTATTCTATATTATCATCTTATTGCAAAAACAACAGCAACAGCAACAACAACAGCAACAACAACAACAATAACAACCACAACAAAAACAACAACAACAACCGTTAAAAAAAAACGTTTAACATTTAATAAAAAAAAATAAAAAAAAAATTACGTAATTAATAATTTATTTTATACTCGAGACCTTCGATAAGTAACGTTTTTTTTTCGGGGGGGTGGTTGGGCGAGACGAGTTAGGGGATGCGGGGAGGGGTGGAGGGGGTAAATGTTAGAAAGGATTTTAAATTAATCATAAAAAAAAAAATATTCGTAATGATAACAAGATAAAATAAAAATTTATTTTCTTTTATTTATTTATTTATGTACATATAACATTTAAATAAATTTATTACAAATTTTTTATAAACTTAACAATTAATAATAATAATAATAATAATAATAATAATAATAATTTTACTACAGACTAATATAATTTTTGAGCGCTATTTACGTGTTTGTATTGATATCGAAAGAGTGAGTAAATACTATTATTATCATTATTTTTTTTCTTTTACTTAATTCATTCATTCATTTATTCATTCATTCATTCAGTCATACACGGTATCCTAGACGATAAGAATATTCTAACCGGTCCTACATATAAACTTTTTTTTTTTTAAAAATAAAATAACCGATAATATTTTTTTTTAAAATCAACTTTAAAAATCAATCGATCGATATCGATAAATCAATCAATCAATCAATCAATCAATCACAGCTCCACTTTTTTTTTTTTTTTTTTTTAAGTAACCTTTGGTAAATTCAGTCTCAAATTATAAAAAAATTTATTTATTTTTGTTTGTTTAAAAAAAAAAAAAAAAAACTAAAAAGTAACTAATTGTCATGGTTTAAAAAAAAAAAAAAAAAAAAACTAATATGGGGGCGATATTTAATTAAATATCAAATTTAATAATTTCCCCTTTCCCCCCCCCTCTTCCCAACTCCCCGATCGTATGTACCTTAGATATACATAACACGATTTCATAGAGTGAAAAGGGTTTAATATTAAAATTTTATAAATTATTATCGTCTGCTTGTAATAAATTTTTTAATGTTTTAACATCGTCGGATGATTCGTTTCCATTATCTTTTCTTATCGTGACAGTTGAAGGAGGAAGAGGGAGCGGTGGTGAAGATTTGACAACTTTTGAAATATCATCATTCGAATGATGATTGTAAGGTTCAGGTCCGATCAAACTTAAAACTATCGGTAAAAAAACAATACCGTGAAATAAACCGAAAACGGTCACGAGGAAAAATATCTGAAACAAACAAACAAACAAATTAATTGAGAAAAAATCGGGAGACAATTTTTTTGGGGAGACGGACGGACGGCATTACCTTAAAAAACGTTTGAAATACGTAAGCGTCGGAACTTCCTAAAAGTGCAACGGCGAGGAGTGTCGAAAAAGCTCCATTTGCCGTTGCCGTACCTATATATTTAATTGTTTTCAAAGCTCTTTCCTCTCGAGATCCGTGGAAAGTGAGAAAAATATGGCCGACGTGTGCGGCATAATCGACGCATAAACCAACGGCTAAAACTAGTGCTATACACGATGCAACGTCTATGTATAAACCCCAATAATAAACAAAACCGGAAACGTCAACCTTAAAAAATTTGGAAAACCTTTAAAATTTTTCCCTCAACGTAATTAAAATTTTCCAAGGAAAGAAAATTCTTACCAATGTTAAAAGTACGCATATAAATATCCACCAACATATTTGTACGTCGACAATTAGTATCCCGTTACATATCATTATGCAACAAAGTGCCATACCTAAATTTCTATACATTTCCCGATCGATAACCTGAAAAAGAAAATTTTTAGAGGATTTCCTCGTGGGAGATTTTCATTAACCTTTCGTAGAATTTACCTCATCCGTTACCCAACTTGCAAAAACTTTTGACCAAACCGTTGAAAATCCATCACCGGAAGTTATGTTAGCGTCTTTGACAATTTTTTTTAATTTATTCATCGCCGGTATATATTCTTCGGATCCGCTAAATTTTTTAAATATAAAATCAATCGAAGAGATCTGGAAAATTTTTTCTAAATTATGGAACGATAACAGGTACAAATTTAAAAAAAAAAAAAAAAAATATTTACCGTTATGTTAGGTGTCGGTTCGCCGCAAATCAATTCCTTATCGAACCTGAAATTTTTCTGATATCTCGCACCGTTTGCGCTCCATAAAAATTTCGATAAATATTCTTTAAATTTTTCATCCGATATTTTTTCATTTAATACGTCCACGTGTAATCCCTTTTTGGTATATTTAATAAAACTCGTCGTCCACGTGTCGATATTTTTTATTATTTGACTTTCATTTTTCATTTTCAATGATAATTCGTGGATTTTACTCATTTCTTCCGAATAATTAACCCTACCTATGTAAACGGCTGAAACGAAAATTTATTACGTCATCACTCCCACCCACCAAACAAAAAACATAAAATGACCTATGACCTATGACGAACCTCCATCTTTTCCAACATCTGGATAAAAATGATTCCTTTGACTGTAAAATTGTAAAAGGTATGAATTTTCCGGTAAAAACCATTTCGGATCAAATTTTTGTTTTAAATTTAAATTTCCTTTTATTCCAATTCCAGCTAAACTTAATGTGACTAGAATGACTAATATCTGACAACAACAACAACAACAAACGATTAATTTTTTTTTAAAACGATTGTTTACAAATTTGTTATTGTTTGTTTGTTTGTTTGTGTTATTACCTTTATTGGTAATTTAAATATAAAATTTTTATAAATAAATTCGAAAATTTTAGCTTGATAGGATTCCGTCGCCATTTCCAGGGGTCTGAAATTTTCATGTTTCAAACACCAAACGATAGAATTCCTTTTACCATCAATCCTTTTTTCATCGATGCATAAAAATGCAATAAACATTGTTGTTTGAAAAATAAACATGAATAATATTCCAGCAGCTGTGTAAAGACAAAAAGAATGAAGGGATGGAAGGATCTGAAAAAATAATAATAATTAATTAAAACGAGAAAAAAGGTTGTTTTTTTTTTTTTTTAACGCAAAAAGGTTTAGGGTAAACTAACCGTTAGTGAACCTATTAGAAAAGCTACTAAATCCGTTACCGAAGTCACCGTTATCGATACTCCCGCGTGCCTTAACATGACCGCGATTTTTTCTTCGTGACGTAATTTCCGTTCGGCGACTGTCAAATGTTTCCAACATGAAATTATAACAAACATGTCGTCGACTCCGATTCCCAAAAGTAAAAAGGGGAGCGAAGTGTGTACGGGACCGTAAAAAATTCCAAAAAGGGAACATAGGGAAACGGCGAGAATGAATGAAAGTCCTATGCATAATAATCCTACGCAACCTAATGCGAACTGAAATTTAAACGCAGATAATAATAATAATAATAATAATAATAATAATAATAATAATAATAATTTTAACGAATGAATTATCGTAGGAAAAACTCACTCTTAATTCGACCCAATTAAAACGAGTCGGTAAGGCAATTTGTACGAAAAAAAACATCAATAAACTTCCGACGAATAATTTTCCGACATCTTGAAACATGCTAGCACTACTTATGTCTCCATAACTTCTACCCGCTTCGTAATATAAACGTAAATCGGTATCATCGTGATATTTTTGTGATTCGTTTAAAAGTACGTCGAGGAAACCATGTTCCCACGCTAGAGAAGGCCCCGTTACCTGTAGAAAAAAAAAAAAAAAATTATAAAACTTTAATTATTTATTTATTTAAAAAAAAAAAAGATGGCGACGTCGGCACTTACCATGTCTGCTGTACCAGCAGCATTTCCCGTTTCGTCCATATCTACAGCAGAATAATTCACGTGAGTCATCCATACGTTAAGTAAAGATCCAGCACCGATTATTCTTCCCCTATCATCGTACACAACATCTCCTAATAATTCTTTAAAACTTGTCGGATGACCGTAAACGGGACTAAAAACATAAAATTTGGTAAAAAAAAAAAAAAAATTAGTAAAACAAAATGGCGCGAAAAAGCTACAAAGTTCTCTTGACCGAATTAAATACGTGCAAAGTTGCCCTATAATTTTTTTTATGTTTGTTTTAAACCTCCCCTCCTCCCTCCTCCACCCCTCCTCTACTCTCCTCGTTTAAATTAAGAAAAAGTTTCTTTCTTGCGATAATAATAATAATTTTGGTAAGCGTTTTGTGGCCTCGATGATTAAAAAAAAAAAAATTTTTATCAAGTGAAATATTAGGTCAATGTACACACACACACACTGACTGATATATTGTAGCCAATCATTTTGACTTTGTTAACGAAATCATTCCCGGAGGAAGGGAGGGAGGAGGTGTTCCCCTCCCCCTTCTTATAAAAATATATATATACATAATTTACTTTATTTTCGTCGTGTGAAGTGCTTCGACGACATCTTCCCTATCCAAATTATTTATTATCCTTTCATCGTTGTTCCACAACTGACCTAAATTAACTTCTAAACATAATTTCGGAAGGTTATTGACGATCGAACAATATCGCGTGTATCCTAATATGAGGGACGGATCGAATTGAAAGCCTCCCGAGTCCGAATCTTCTTCGATTGGGGGTAAAAAAAAAAACGATCTTTTTTTTTTCCTTTTACCGAAAAGGCTACTAAAACCTAAAAAATCTGATTTTACGGCTGGAATTCTGGAAGAAAAAAAAAAAAAACAAAAAAAAAACATAAATGTAAACATAATCAGTAACATTCATACAACAACAACAACAACAATCGACTAATACATATAAACAGGAAAAAAATAATAATAATAATTAAAGGGTAAATAACCTTTTCTATTTCTATTACACTCTAATCAAAACATTTACATAATTTTTTTATTTTATTAATATTTATCAAATTATTATTATTATTATTATTTTATTTAAAAAAAAAAACTACTACAACTTGTCGTAAAACGAAATTAGACTCGGGATGGTGGGAAGAGAAGCGGAAAGGGAAAGAGGGGGGGAGGTCAAAAGGTAAATGGGATTACAGTGGGAAATCGAGCGTGTTTGTTTGTTCGTTTGTTTGTTTTTAATAATAATTAATAGGATTCAAACAATGTTTGTTAATCGTCGCATAAGCTCATTAAAACTTTGTCGTCTTCGTTAAAATTTTGTTTTTGTTTTGTCTTTAATCCTAAAACAAAATATTATTATTATTATTATTATTATTATTATTATTATTTTTAAATATTTTGTTGGGATAAATTTAAAAAAAAAAAATCTCTGTGAGGAGCAGGAGTAGGAGGAGGAGGTAAGGGGGTGGTTGTGGTGGTGGTGGGGGAGGAGGAGGAGGGGGAGGTGGATTAGCTAAACATTAATTATCGATCGGTTGATTTTTTACAATTTGAAATTTAAATTCTTTGTTTTGTCTACGTTTGAAAATTATTTTGAACACATTTTTAGGTTTTAAAAAAAAAAAAAATTTCTTTTGAATGTTTACGAAAAAGAAAAATCGTGATCGTGACTAAACGGAAAACTACAAATAAACAATAATAATAATAATAATAACGTGCCCCCCCTCTCTCTCTCTCTCTTTTTAAAAAGTTAACTTTGTTTGTCCCCTTTATATAGTAAAATGACAAATTAGCATTTAACATAATTAAAATTTTAAATTTTTTTTTTTTTTTTATTTATAATCGTTAAGGAAACGTAATAATAATAATAATAATAATAATAATAATAATAATAATAATAATAATAATAATAATAATAATAATTTCTTCCTTTTAGTTTTCTAACTAATTTAACGTTAACAAACGATGATAACCTTGAATTTTTTTTTTTGTTCTATTGACGAGAGATACAAGTTTTTAGTCAGGTAGTCAGGTAGACAAAGACAAAACTTTTTACCTTTGCATTAATAATCGCGATTCGAATGATTAATAATTAAATAAATAAATAAATAAAGTAAATCACCTGAAACAAACATCTTCCCATGTTGTATTGTCAACGGACATTGTTATTATTTTTTTCCGTACTTTTTCAACCTGAAACAAAAAAACACAAAGACAATTTAAATTTGTTTTTATTTATTGACACGTTCATCATCATCATCATTTTTTTTGTTTGTTTGTTCTCTTTCCGGTTGTTATTTAAAAACTCTTTCATCCTATACACAAATCCTTCGTTCTTATTTATTTATTATTATCATTAAAAAAAAAAACACAAAAAAAAAAAAAAAAAAAAATTATCCAAAACGTTTGACTAACATTCATGCTTTTTTTTTTTTATGTTTATGTTTAATTCTAATTAAATTTAACCTTTGAACTCTGAACTCAATGACGAAGTGTTCTCGTGTGTGTATATACTCATATTATTATTATTATTATTATTTTAACTTAATGAACCACGTTGAATAATTTTAAACCGTGTGTGACAATAAATTAAAGGTTGTTTTTTTTTTTTTTTTTATCCTTTTCCGGTGTTTAATTATTATTATTATTAATACTAAAAAGCATTTTTTTTAATTTCTTTTATTATTATTATTATTATTATTATTATTATCATCCTTGAATTTTCTTGTTTTTGCCAACGTATTTTTCATCAAATTCAACTTCATTTTTTCCAGTTAATATGATGGCCTTGGACACTTTTTTTTTTCCTTTTTCTACACACAATGATCGTATGTTGTTTAAAAAAAAAAAAAAATTGTAATTTGCTCAAACGTAATAAAAAAAAAAAATTCCAATTTATTCATTTGTTTACAGTAAAACAAGTATTAATAATAATAATAATAATGAAATTAATATTAAAATGACGTCAAAGTTAAAAAAAAAAAAAAAAAAAAAACCCGCTTTAAATTAAATTACTACTTTTTAAATGTTTTCGTTTGTTTGTTTGTTTGTTTGTTGTGTTATGTAGGAATTTAATTCCATCGTATATAAAGACAAATATTAAATAATAACGAAAAATGGGGAGGGGGGTTAGGGGGCATAACGATATAAAAAATTCAAAATGTTTCAAATTTGTTTTCAATGAATTTAACTAATCGATAAATTTAATTAATTATTTCACACGCACACACAGATATTAATATTCTATTAAAATATTGATTATTAATTAATCATTATTATCATTATTATAGATAATATATAAACACACAAAAGCATTTTTTTTTTATTTTTATAAAAGTAGGCGTTGGGCATATCATTCATGTGAAAATTAAATCATTCTCAATTGACTGAATGACTCAAAAAAAAAAAAAAAACATTCAAATCAATTTTACATTATTTTTTTTTTTTTTTTTTTATGTCAGCCCATACATAAATTTTTATTAATACTACATAATACATCCATTATTAACATTTCTTTTTTTTTCGAGCCTATATTTAAAATTTTATAATTTTTTATTATGTTAAAAAAACATATGACGCCATTTTTTTTTTTTTTGAATGTCTGATGACTGTAAATAAAACAATAAAATTAATTTTTCTTTTGAACTATTCTTCGACTAATGATTTTATTATCGTGGTAGGTTTTTCTTTTCTTTTTTAAAGTTAAAATTAACACAAGACAAAAAAATATAATAGTAATCGATAAAACAATAAAAACGTGGCGGAAGGTAACGGGGGGGGGGGAGCGGGGGAAAGACTAATATCGTTTTGTAAATAAACTCATACAATGGAAAATATCGGTTAGTTTGAACTTTAATACTAATTATCTTGCTTTGTAAAAAAAAAAAAAAAAAAGAGCGTACAATAAAAAACAACAACAACAACAACAACGACAACAACGACGGGTTTTCATTCGTTGGAAAAAATGACGTCTAATTAATACATAAGAAAATGTGATAACAATGATTTTCTTACACTATATGAAAACAATGAAAGTTAAAAAACAAACAAACAAACATTTTCCTGTCGAAAATAACGATTGTTAATTATTCAAAAAAAAAAAAAAAATGAAAAACTGACAGTGAAGTTTGGTACAACAACAACAACAAATCAATATAACAACAATGAAAGGGTTAAAACAAAATTTAGGGAATAGGGATGAAAGAAATAAATTGATTAACGATATTAAAGATGGCTGACGACATTTTATGAACATAATAACCATTAGAAACATAACTAAAATGAAAGCTAACTGTCCTGTCATGGAAAACCTTGAAACTTAACCGCTTCATGTAATTTAATTAATATTTAAATTAAAAACTCAAATTTTTTTTTTTTTTTACCTCTTGTATGACGTGAGGTTCAAGAACGTTTGGTCCTGTTAAAAGAAGGTATTGAATTCTATAACCTTCTTTGAATTTTTCTATTATCCAATCAGTGTCACGTTTAAAATCTGAATTTTGTGGTATCCATAATTTTATAGGATTTTTTTCTTGTCTAAATCTTAGTAAACCTAAACTTCCTATTGCCGTAAATACAAGGCAACCGATTAGAAATTTCCATGGATGTAATGCGATTGTATAACCGTACCTGAAAATATTAAAAAAAAAATATAGTTTCATGTCTCATATCCTCCCTTTTATACTGCAGCACAATTTTCAAATTATGTTTTGAGAATAATAATAATAGTAACAATTTTTCGTTTTATTAAAAAAATCAATTAAATACATAAAAGTTTTTGTTAATTAATATAAAAACCATAAAATTAATTTTCAAATTGAAAATTGATGAGGCATTTATCTTATTATGTTTTCTCACATTAAGATAATGAAAAATTTAACGGTTGGCGCGCAAAAAAAAAAAAAAAAACAAAACGAAAAATTTCGAATAAAAAAAAAAAAGAACGTTGTTAATCGTTGTTTTCGAAATTGTAATTTGTTGTAAGTGATGAATAAATTTTTAAATTAAAAACTACTTTAATTTGAAAATCTGTGGAAATTGAAGACGGAAATTAAAAATTTTTTTTTAAACGAATTTTTTTTTGATTTAGTAAATGTTAAAAAAAAGGAAAAACCATGACGTGAGGATAAATAATTAATAATTAATAAAAGTCTTAAACTCACCAATAAAATAATTTTTCAATATTTCCAACTACAACTTTTTTTAATCTATGAAATATTGAATTTCCTGATTGACCCATGGCTTCTTTAACTTTTCAATCATTTGAGCACCGCCAACTTATTCATAATACTGGCGGTAACAATAGCGTCTTGCGATGACGGTTATTTTACTTTTTTGTCGCAACTACGACAAAAAATTATTCGTGCGACATTATTCGCTTTTAACTAATAAAACACAATGACATCGTCCATCTTGAATTTTTATGACACTTTTGTGTGTTCCTTAACAATATTTTTTCACATCTAGAAAAAACATAAATAATAATAATAATAATAAGGTTCTGTTGTAAAAAATTGCTTTAAAAATAATAATTTTTTTTTTTTTATACATAATTTGAGCATTTATAATTACTCTAAAGTAATAAAAAGTTCTTAATTAGTATTAACACTGCTGTATAGGCTAGTGCTTTTAGCACACAAATCTTTATTTCACCTTAATATTATAACTAATCATATTCTATTAAAAATCAGTAGACGATAATTTAATTTATTAATATTTTAATGAAGATTTAAATAAGATTACAACTGTTGTTCATAACAGATACTTAAAAATGTCAACAGTAGTATAGGATAGACTATAAGACTATTACATACTGCATGCATTTATTATTATTTCTTTCCTATTAATAAAATATTATTAAAATTAACAACAGAAAAGATAGATAAAGAAAAAGTTCTATTATAGATAGTTTATCATGATTTTAATAAAATTATTCTTGTAAAGAAAGTATAATACCTTATTTCAAAGACAATCGAAGATTAACATAAAAACAAAAAAAAAACAGTTTTAAAATCTATTATGCAATAATTAAATCATTTTTAAAACTATATATATAATAATATGTATATACTATGTAGTGGAGTAAAAACTAATAAAAACAATGTACTAATAATATTAATTATACTAATACTAATTATTAGAATATCTTTAAACAAATACTTACAATTATTGACAAAACGACAAACATGTCACTTATTTCAAAATACACTTGATCCTTTAATAAAATATAAATAAGGTTTTATGATAATAATTTTAACTTTAAACTAACAGTGGAGATGGTATATAAATAAATAAAAATCAGATGCTATTATTATTAATTATTTTGAATATTATCACTTAATAATATTAATAAAAACAAGTTAAAAACAATTTGTAGCAATTGTTACTTTTATCCCTTTTTCTCTCTAATATAATTAATAGGTTGAGTTACAAAAACAAAAAAAAATCTTTTCATCAATGTAAAAGCTGTCTGTCAAATGTAACATTTAAAAATATAAATAATAACTAATATTAAAAAGCTATAATCTATTCAATGATATTTTGGATAAACATTTTTAAAACTTATAATAATAATAAAACAAAATAAAACGGTTTTTTTAAATTAAATCTCCGAAAAAAAGCATCACACTTAATAATTGAATAGAAACTTTGGAGCCACCATTTTTAAAAATGCAGATTTTCTAGAAAAAAAAAAAAGAAAAGAAAAAAGCTTCGCTGAGAGGGCGTTTCTATTTAATCCCCTTTAAACCGCGCTTTCATATAATAAAATCCAAAAATTTTCTCCATGTATTTATTTATTTTTATTTTTATTAAATATTTCGAGGTATGAAAGGCCCCCCAATTAAATTTTTTTTTTTAACAGAAAGGAAAAAGAATAAATAATTGTTCATTTAAAAGAAAAAAAAATTTTTTTATTTGAAAGAAACACAAAAAAAACATAATAAACATGTATAATATAATTAACATAAAAATCTTTTTTTTTTTTTTTTTTTTTTTCCGGCAGTTAAATTAAAATAATTTATTTAATTACAAATTTATTCAAATACAAAATAATTTATTATCAGTCTAAAAATTATAAAGAGTTTAAATTTTATGCAAGGAAATGATTGAGAAAAAATGTTTAAATTTAATAAATTACACTTCCTCCATTTTTTCTATTAAATATCATAACATTTAAATTTTTCCTTTTTTTTATTAAACAACAATTTTTAAAATAAAATTTAAAATTTAAAATCATATTTAAGAGAGAGAGAGAGAGATATTAATAAATCATTTACTTTTTCATTTAATGACAATTTACAAAATTTACAAATAATATATATATATATATATATGAAAAAAAAAAAAAAAAAAAATAGTGTATTTCAATAATTGGATTTTATTTATTTATTTATGTATTTATTTAAGAAAACAATGAATGAATGAATGAATAATTTCAACAAATTATTATCATTTTTAAATAACCGACCCATTATTATTATTATCATAATTATTATTTATTACGTAACAAAATATTATTGAATATTTATTTAATTATCATTTGTTTTTTTTTTTTTTAAAATAATTATTATGACATTTTCATTAACGGAATGGTTTTTTAAATGTTGGTCTATAAATAAAATTAAAATACACAAAATTTTATTTTAAAAAAAAAAATTGCATGATTAAAAAAATTACAAATTAAATTTCATTCGAAAGTTTAATGCATTTTAATTCGGTTTAATCGTATTGACCAAAAAAAAAATTTTTTTTTTTTTTTGTAGCGAGTTGAAAATAATACTGAAAACATGATTTTTAATTTATTTCTTTCTTTCTTTCTTTTTTCTCGGTTATTATTTATTGCAAATAAATATTTTTCAAAATTAAAACATATTTTATGGGTTACCACCTTCTTTTTGTTCTTTTTCTTTATTATATCTTTCGAGTTCTTTCATAAATTGTGCCTTTGGTTTCATAACACTAGATCTATCTCCTCTGCATTTTGGACAGTACCATTTACCCTTGGGTTTTACACCGAGCGAAACACATGAGAAATGAAACCACTCGTAAGGACACAAATCATTGTCGCACATAATCATTTCTCCATATGATATTTGATCACATAAACAATATGTCGGTTCGTCAGGATCTATTGGAATTTCATCGTCATGAGTTGGCGAATCGTCTCTTTGATGCTGATGAGATTGAGATTGTTGTTGTTGCAATGTTCCCTGTCTACTTTTTCTCTTTTTCTTTTTACCTGCATTTGCAGCACCTGTTTTCTTTTGAGAATTACCAGAATTCGAATTTAATGATGAAGTTTGTTGTTGTGAAGTCGTTACCTGATACCAAAAAAAATTTATTTCAGATAATACTAAAATAATATGTTTCCTTTTTTTTGAACTCGAAACTTGAAGTTTATAATGTAAACTTCATGTAAGTAAATATACACATCTACTTTAAAAAACTTTGAAAAATGATTTTATTCTTACAGGTTCAGGTAATGGCAATGATTCTAAACCTATGGGCAAATCACTGCCAGGGCCGATATCAGTTCTAGTTCTCCTAGCTCTTTTTGATTGTCTTTCACCTACAGAATTGTTATTATTATTATTTGACAATGATACTGAATCTCTGTGAGTAATATTACTGTCTTTGTTTGAATCTTGCAAATCTTGATCTTTACCAACATCAGCTAAAAATAAAAATTTATCATTATCATGAGATCCTTTAATAACCTTACTAATAAAACTTGAGCAACATTAATTTGATGTTTAATAATAATAATTAATTTAATATGACATAAATAAAACTATGTATTAGTAAATTGCAACTAACCTAAGTTTCTGTAATCTAATTCTAACTGTCTAGCTTTATTTTCGATGAGATCTTGTAATTGTTGAATAATTTGAAGTTTTTCATCTCCGACTTCTTGGGCTAATATTAAAGCTTGTTGAATTTTAACCAATGAATTACGTTTTCTAGCAGCAGAATCAGAATCTTTTTGAAGTGATTCCTGCTGTTGCTCAACTTCTTTCAATAGACCTATGGTGAGACATAAAATTTAAACAAAATAATAAAAAAAAACCTTGTATTTGTTTAGTTAATTTTTCATTGAAATAACCTTAATTGCATTGTATCTATTGAAATCAGTTACACGGTCGTTCTTATTTGTTTTTACGTAAATGGAACCCACCTTGATATGTAACATCTAATTCACGAACTCTAGATATATGACGCTGCAAGTCATCAGGAAGATTTTCCACACAATCTAGATAATTTTCTATATAAGTTGCTGAATACAACGCTTCCACAGCCGCTTGATTTAACATGTTTCTTTTGTATTGCGGCTTTTTACATAATAAAAAATGTAATTTATTAACTTATACATGAAATACTTTTGGAATTATTTGGTGTCCTAACAAGAAACTTATGTTTTCCAGAAAGCATTTAAGTAAAATTGAAATTTATGGGAAAGAGTAACATGCAGGCTAATCTTTAACATCATAACTGTTTATCTGGGAAATAAAATTATTTTTACAGGGAATTTTGTCGCAACTATTGCAACACACGCATTTCACACGAATTTTTTGCAAAAAACAGTTGAAAGTGAATTATTTTTCGTATTATTTTGAGTACATGGTTTAGATTTATTTGTAATTTATAACCTTTACTAAAAATAATGTCTTCAGATTGCGTTAGTAATGGATATGATGATGCCTCCAACAGCTCCACGCGGTAAGTTTCTTTTACTTATCTAATAATGCAGTCATACGTAAGACGTAACGGTTTTTTTTTTATAGCGCCTGTTTTAACAATGGCAAAGCCTGTAGAGATTTTTAATATGATATGAGTCATTTATAATGATTTAAATGTAATTATTTTTCTTACTTAAACTTTAAAAAAGAACTAAATCAAAGTTTTTTTTTAGAATTTTTATCGAAATTTTTTTCATCGAATTTTCTTATAATTTTTCTTTTTATCTATTTGCCATTTTTTACTGAGTATAAAATTGACATATTTCTTTGTACTACCTCATGCTAATATTAAGGAATCCAAAAAAAAAAAAAAAATTGATATAATTTTTTTTTACTTATCAAATGATCATATGTTCTTATCTATTTTATAATTACACATTTAAATGTTAAAATGTTTAATTTTAAAATTTTTAAAATGTACATTTTAACATAAATTATTTGAATTTCATTCTCATGTAAAGATCTATTTCGAATAACTAATTGTTGGTGGCATCTGAATTTTTCGATTGTTGTGTTTAAACCAAAGCAATTTATTATGTAATTGAACCATTTTTTTGAATTAAAAACATTAATCATGATTTATGATAAATTGGGTAAAAAATTTTGTAATTATCAGTTTCGATAATCAATTAAAGCCATTGAGTCACTTGAAATCACTCGATTTCGATTTTAAAAAGGAATTTCAAACTATCATTTTTACTATATATGTATTTAATGTATTTATTTAATATTAATGACATGGCTTCCTACTTATTGATAACCTTAGTATGATCTCAGACAAAGTAAAGATTTTATTTTTCTCCCCCCTCCCCAATAAATTCGTCTATGATTATTAATTTCAAATACTTTATTATATTAATAATCGTTGTTACAATTAAATAATTCAAAATAAAATTTTTTGTATTGATTCATAATGAAATGGTTAAGTCGGTTTAAAATCAGGTATCATTAGGCTTTAAGTTGATCAATTCGGTTTTTTGAGATTCATTTATATCATCAATAGTGTAATTCAGTTCATTCTATTGTCAGGTATTGTATTGTATTAGGTATTTCAGAAATTCAGGAACAAAAATGATTTTTGTTAAAACTTGCACATTATATTTCATTTAATGTCACAGTCGTTTGTTAAATTCATCAAACTCATACATAAAAAAAAAAAAAATTATGAATTAAGGTTTGTTATGTGTAATTGCATCGATGAGTACAAAAATTATCAGGCTTGTGTGCATGTACCTATTTTAATATGATTAATAACTTTATGAGATGTTGATTAGATTCATGCGAGTATTTTTCACATAAGCAAAACAGTTTAGCTTAGCTAACCCATAATTTAAAAAAAAAAAATGTTTGATTTTCTACAAATATGGTTTGATAAACCTGGATGATAAACCTTTTGTAATTAATCATTTAAAACGTTTTTAATGCACTTGAGGTTTGCTTTTAGAAAATAATTTTGATGAAAAAGGGGTTATAATTCTCATATATATAATTTATATAAACTTTTACATAAAAAATATTTTTAAAACCACTCATTTTTTTTTTTTTTTTTTTTTTACCTTACATGGTTTATTTAAAGTCAATAATAAAAGGGAAGGAAAGTATGTTTTTAGTCTATTTATTTAGTTTTTAAATAATTCCGTTAGATTGTGTTCAATTTAAAAAAAAAAAATAAGTAAAATTCATTTTTAAATTTGAAAAAATAAAATAAAACAGTGTAAATATTTGATGTTGCATTAATATAATGGACTCATAATGTTCCTTTTGGTCAAAAATAATTTACTGAATCACTTTTATTATTATTATTATTTTTTGAGTGTGCATTAAGACAATAATGTTGCTTTTATCCTTTTTTTTTTTTTTTGTTCAATTATAATTTTAGTTAGTTTCCTGGAAAGCTCAAAAAAAAATAATAGTAATAATAATAAACTTTTTTATTTATTTATTTTTTTTTTTTGACGTTATTAAATAAAAAAAAAAAAAAAAAAGCTAAAACTGTAATGATAATGATGATAATAATAATAATGGGGGGGAGATAAAAGGGAGACGTGCATGAAAAAAAAAAAAAAATTAGTTAATCCGTTGGTTTTTTGTTTTTTCAATTTTTACAACAAATCGAATTTTAATTCTTAAAATTAAATTTTCTTTCGAATCGACTCGTTGCCATAAAGTTTCTAAAAAAAAAAAAAAAAAAAAAAAAAATTCTGTTCGTTTGTTAAAATCATTTCTAGAAGTTTCTCTTTCGCTGGGCATTAATTAACCCAAAAGTTCCATTTGTTTTTTTGTTTTTTTTGTTTGTAACGGTTATAATTTTACTTTTGAATTGCATAATAATAATAACAACAACAATAATCATTATTATTACTATTATTATTATTATCCTTTCTTAATTATATGTTATTCTTAGTCTTAAAAAAAAAAAAAAAAAAAATTAGGATTTTTAAACGCGTCATAAATTTTTATATTTATCATTATAATATGACCTGTTTCGTTATTTTATGTAAAGCATACCTCTGTGATTTTCTCAATTGTTATCATTATCATCATAATCATAATATTCATTATTATTATTATTACAATTGTTAATTTATTTAATTTATAAAATTTCCCCTTTTGATTGTCAATTTATTTTCACTTTTATTGTGGTTTAATTTTTTTTTTTTTTCTACTTAAAGTTTTCACTATCGTTTCACCGTATTTTCTAATAATAAAATTATCATTATCATTATTAGTATTATTATTAGTCATTTGTTTTGTAAAATAGTCATTAACCGAAATTTTTTTTTTTTTTTTTTATAATTATGTTTCGTGAATATTTTTTTTTTCGGTTACGTAAAATTATGTTTCATTTCGTTCGGACATTTAAATTTTTTTTTTTCTTTTGCATACTAACATATGTTGTTAATTAAAAACAATTTATTTATTTATTTATTTTTTTTTTCGTTTGTTATTGGGTCTTTAATAAGTTTTTTTTATTACGTAACGAAAATAATAATAATGTTGTGATGAAAAGAACGATGACGAGAAATGATAGAAAAGTTTGAGTTGAAAAAATTTTTTAGTAATTAGCGATATGTATGTATAAAGTTTAAGGTACGATTAAGAAATCCAGGTACGGGTAAAAACAGGATGGCAGACATAATCTTTTAAACGCAGTCGGTCAGACTTCTTTGTTTCTAAGATTTTTTTTTTTCTCAGCATTTCAGAAATGTCTTTTAAGCTCAGAGAGAGAGAGAGAGAGAGAGTGTGTGTGTGTCTGTGTCTGTGTCTGTGAGAGAGAGAGAGAGTGTGTGTGTGTGTGTGTGTCTGTGTCTGTGAGAGAGAGAGAGAGAGTGTGTGTGTGTGTCTGTGTCTGTGAGAGAGAGAGAGAGAGTGTGTGTGTGTGTCTGTGTCTGTGAGAGAGAGAGAGTGTGTGTGTGTGTGTGTGTGTCTGTGTCTGTGAGAGAGAGAGAGTGTGTGTGTGTGTGTGTGTATGTGAGAGAGAGAGAGACACTCGATTGGAATAAAATGCAACTGAGAATTTTAATTATGAAAAAATTTTTTAGTATATTTATATGATAATGATTACGTGCGTTCAAAGTTTAAAATTTAAATTACCTAAAGGTTCCCGTTTGGTTTGTAAAGGAAAAGTATTATTATTATTATTATTATTATTATTATTATTATTTAATAACGGAATATTCATCGTCGTAAATTGTTATTATCAAAAAATGTGTATTAACGCTAACGCAAAACACAAAATCGTAGAGTAAATTCATGAATTTAAATTATAAAAATTGTAAACGTTGAGTGAATAAAACATATTTATCGTTTATGTAATAAAAATTATTATTATTATTATTATTATTATTATTATTATTATTATTATTATTATTATTATTATTATTATTATTATTATTGGGACAAGAGTGTTATGATCAATAGTTTAAATTAAATATAATATTCTAGTCGGGTGCATATTAAAAATCCGATGGGTTTTAAAAACAACAACAAAAATATAATTTTTAAATGTTAGATCGGGGTTTGAGTTTAAAATAAAATTGGGAGGAGGGGGGAGGGGGAGGGCGTGAAAAATAGTAAATTTACTCTTCCTGAACGTTGCATTAAAAAAAAAAATAAAAAAATAAATAGTAGGTTGTGTGTGTGTGTGGGTGAATATGAAGTTTTTTTTTTTTTTTTTTCATCCTACCGAAAAAGTCTTTGTCTATAACAAACAACCGAAGACATACATTTTTTACATAATTATTATTATTATTATTATTATTAATAATAATCTCAATTGCATTTTTATTACACGTGCGTTTCATTGTGTGTTGTGTGGGAAGAAATATAAAAAAAAAAAAAAAAAAAATGCTGCCGATTTATTGACCGTAAAAATAAATTTTTCTGAGTGTCGGCTTATATATGTACATAAGGGTTACCCTTTTTTTTTTATTAAAAGCTCAGTTGAGGGTCATTGAACTCTTGCAGTAAATTTTCCATAACAAAAAAAAAAAACGTTGTTACAAAATCTTTAATTGTTTTCAATATGGATTCCGATCGAAAAAAAAAGATGAAATTTTTTTTTTGAATTTTCA